CGATTGAATATTATTGTCGCACTGTTCAGTTACTCAGGTGCTTTTGTGGCGACGGACCTCGTAAGCTTAAACCATGGTCAAGTAATGAGGACGACACTTGTGAGATATTTCTCTCCCCTCTCCTAACTTCTACACACTTCTGGAAGGAAGCTTAAACCTTGACATACTTAACGTGTGCATAGGTCCCCTTTGCACGGTGGGGCTTCAGCGATGCTAGGCTCGAACTCATGACACGGCGGCCACGAATCCGTTACCTTGACTACTAAGCTACCGAGGCTAAGGTAAGGTTATGATGGCAAAAGTAGAATGAAATAATTGTTTTGTAAGTTTTAAAGAAAAATAACATTTTATATTGTTTTTAAATAACGTTAATTGAATAGTTAGAGATTAGTTGAAATAACTTTTATAATCACAATTTTTCCATTCAAAATAATTTTTACAGCATCTTAGTCTTACCTGAGTTTCTTCTATTAATTTTTCAATATAAATTGGGACTGATTCATAAGTTAGTAATCCTTATATTAAATAAAAATATATCTATAACTTTTTGGAAAGGAGGACAAAAGGATCTACAAATTTACATCATTCCTTGATGATTATAAATCTAACTGAGAAGAAATAATACGCTTCAATTGATATCTCGCTCTCAATTAAGATTTGGCAAACAATTATCAGCATATGCAATTGCAGTAGAGATAGATGAATTATCGCATCTCCTCCACATTGTCTCAATTGACTCTCCTCTTCGCTCTCTCCTGTAATCTGTCTTGTGATCTCTCTTTGAAGATTACAGGGTTAAATCTTGAATGGAGGGATATGAATAGACAATTCACTTTATTTGTAATTAAATTTATTTGGAAAGAAGTAACAAAAGCATGAGTGAAATTCGCACACATAAATGTATGAGTTATGTAAAAAGAAGTCCTGATATTATCTTTTTAACCCTGGAGAAGGCACACACACACACACAATACTAACGTTAGTGGTCGCGCGAGGTGATTGAGTCTAACCAATCCTATTTTTTTATAATTATTTTTATTGTACACGATACAAATCGTAAAATTGCAGTGAATAGTTTAGTTATGAAAAAGTATGCTTACCTGTTTTAAGGACTTTTTAACTTTTCTGTGATAATTTGAGAAGAAAAAATCGAATTAAATTGAACTAAAAGGTTTCAAATGTGAATGATTAAAATTAAGTACCCAAGTCACAGACACTTTTCGCAAACTTTACATGAATGTTATTTGCCGATAAAACTGTCACATTTTGTTCAAGTTATTGTAGTTTTACTGTCCTCTAAGGATCGTCAAATAACATATTGGATTTTTCCTTCTTGTGTCTATTTGATAGGATGCAGTACGCTTTGTGGTATATTTGAGGTTTCATATCTTTGTTGAAGGAGTTTTTTGGGTTAAATTTGAAAATTTTCCTTTCACTCAAACGTTTTACGTTCATCGCTTTTCTCAAATTTACTTCCTCTTTTTTAATTAATATCCATTATTTTATTTGGTTCTTCCCTTGCTTGATAAGTTGCAATTTCATACAATAGAGATGGAGTTTGCCCATTTCTTTTTTTATATTCATTTACATTTTTAAACCATAGCGAGTCGTATAACACAGCAATCAAAATCACTAAGCCGTTTACAGGGGGAAAATGTAGCTGGTTCATAGAAAATCTATTGAAAAAAAGTGGCTATGTGGGGATTTCGAACATCCCAAGTAGGATCCTCCAGAAAAGGGGAGATATGTGACAATTACATTTTAGTTCCCATGAAGGCTATCATATAGGAGGATGCTGTCAAGGTCATTGGTAACCAATTAACTGCTTCCCCAGAATTAAAGATTCCGTGAGCCTGGGGTGACTCTGTACCCCACGCTCCCGGGCTAAACAAATTCATTAAATCATAACACAAAGATGAAAAACATCAAGTCAACGATAACGTAAAATACATGAAAAATAGTATACTATTATGTATGGCTAACTCATATTTTGCTTAATCAGAAATTATAAAATATTTAAGAAAAGTTTGTATTTTGGGAATAAACCTTCCATATTCATGCAAATTTTTAAAACCTTTTATTTTTCGAAATATAGTATAAAATTTATTTATCTTTGATTCCTTATATCTCGTTTATTTTTCGTGAAGTGATGTTTTTGAATGTTTCTTGAGAAACGCATTTAATATTTAGACATTCAGAAATTAACTAGAATATTAACTAAAACTCTAAAGAATTGTGAGCCAAGACCGTAGTTTAAAATTAAAGTTCGCAACGTTGGTAAGTTATATATATTTGGTACTATATAAATAACATAAAAGGAATAAGGAGTCACCTTAAAAATATAATAAAGGAATATTACTGAAGAGATCAAATTTATTTTCTATAAATGTCAGTTCTTGCACTTAAACTTATTTTTTTAATAATTTTAACACCATGCAAAACACAGAAAATAACTCAAAGTAATTTTGTTTTCGGAAGTAACTACCCTTTAAAATATTATAAATACTCTATTGAAAATAATATATTATCAAAGCGCTAAATATTTTCTGACATTTACTTCTGAGCATGAAATTGCGCACACATATTTTTAATCCGCATTAAGAGGAAACGAGGTTAAATATTCCAAGGAGCTTTGAAATTAGGAAACTTTTATTAGCAACTGTGAAGTTTAATTTCATTTCTAAAATATACCATTATCTTTTAGTCTCAAATTTCAAACGATAAATTCTGAACAATTTCATAGTAGATTAAGTTATGATATGTTTCTTTATTATATGCTAATAAGTTTTATATTAGATGAAAAATTTTTAAAGTAAATTCGACTATGTTCCGAATCGTGGTTTTAAAGAAGCGTATAACTGAATTTTGTTTTAATATTTATAGCCACTAGAATTAAAATATTCCTATTATAATGTTTTAATTTTGCTATTATGATGAAAAAATTTCATTCATTATTCATTTATGCACTTTTTCAAAATTCTGAACGTAAATTGATACCTTAATAATTTATTCATACTAAACTGCGTCACATTTTCATTTATATATTAACTTTTATTATCATTGTATTTATTTATACCATTATTATAATCATTTGTATTTATTTATACCATTATTATTATCATTTGTATTTATTTATACTATTATTATTATCATTTGTATTTATTTATACCATTATTATAATCATTTGTATTTATTTATACCATTATTATTATCATTTGTATTTATTTATACTATTATTATTATCATTTGTATTTATTTATACGGTTAATTCTGTCTTTGTTTGGTTGTTTTCTGCAATAGTGAATACTCATATTACTTAAAGCACGAGTGTTAATTTTTGTTAGATTCATTTATCGAATTTTTGATAGCATTTACATATAAATATCAAAGTATAATAGGTAAATTGAGTTTCTTGAAGCTTAAAATTCTCAGTTTTGAGCTTACGTGGGAAAAATACGTATAGGTAAATCATTAGCGATATCTAAATAAATATCATAACAGAAATTAATATTAATTAATTTTTGTACTAATTAAATAAACCTTAGTTATAGATAAGTAAAAATTATATTGAATAAAGGACTTCGAATACTTTCTAATGTCTAAGGAATTTTAATAGTTTTATATGAAGATTCATTGTATACCATTTAAAAACATAAATATTTAAAGGTGTGATGCATCTTGAAGTTTTTTTCATATCTGAAAAAATTCATTATTGCACTGTATAAATTGAGAAATTAAACAAAAAAATATTTCCAAATTATTAATACATTTTTGAGCATAAATTTTCTCCAAATTTAAAAATTTTTAGAATACGTGTAAAATAAATTTGATTTAAAATTTAGATTGATTCTCTGTAAACTGCCTTTCTGCTTAAAGCATAATTTAGCATCTTTAAAGAGCCTAACGAACAGGACTTTTATTTTAAAATTTTTTCAAACGTCAAAATAAGGAAAATAAAAATAAATATCTATAATTACTTTAGATACAGTTATAAACTCTATAGGTTTGTTATCTCTTACGTAATAGAAGAAAAATATCTTTTTTCTAAGAAATTAAACAATTCCTATTATGAGAAAGGATTCAAAGAAATAATCAATAAATTTAAATACTAAAATACTGAGAAAACATAAAACATGTTTTTATTCTGACATGAAAGCATGTTTTTATACTGACATGAAAACATCTTTTTATACTGAGAAAACATAGAAAAAAATTAGTTCAACTTCTATAACACATGTCTTTTTGTTTCTTGTATAAAATCTAGTTGATCCATTCCATCCCATACTTTGAATGATCAAGTGTAATTGCCAAACTACCAGATATAGAAAAGAAATTAAGCTGCCTTCCAGAGAAGCTTCCTTCCACAGAATTAGAAAGCAATCTCATCAAGATACCATATCTTCCTCCACGGAATTCAGCGCACGAATTTCTCTGAACGTCTACCTATTTTTTTGATGCAGAAAAGGGAACGTAAACGTACTTATATGGAGAAGATAGGTAAGTGTAGTGGCAATAACGAAAACACCGAAAGGAATACTTAACAGGGAAGCGAAAATCCTGCAGTTTGCAGCTTCTTTTTCGATGCAGGAATGGTGGGAGTAGTGGTATGAGTAGTATAAGAATTCTAATTGTGTGATGAAATCTATTTTGGGATCTTTCAAAAAGTGAAAAAAATATTACACAGTGCTTTTGTAGATTTCGTGTAAATCTACAAAAGAACCATTTTTCAATTCCTACTATTAGTTCACACTCTCCCTATATGTATTTATATATTTATATATATATATATATCTTGTTCAAATTTTTAGTGTTAGTAAAATACATTTTATTTATTCACTCAAGTTCAAATACATTTTTTTAACTTGTAGAGGATGACACTTTATGTTAATACAATTTTTTCAAATATTAGTTCATTAATTAAATTAAATTAATGAATAAATAGAGTAACAGACAAAAATAATAGTCCAACACCATATATAAAAAGGAAAATCGCTTTTTGGGTGTCTGTAGAGCAATGGAAAGTTCGTTGGACTTTTAATCCAAAGGTTGTCGGTTCGAATCCTACTTGGGATAGCCTAATGTCTGAGAATGTGATTTATCAATGAATAAATAGTAACAAACAAAAATAATAGTCCAACAGCTACATAGGAAAGCAAAAAACCACATTTTCAATTTTGCCAATTAATATCGTTATTCTGTCATATGTATATACATATTTACATTAATTGTAATTATTTAATAAAAAGTAACTAAAACCAAATATTTCTTTGTTGACCTAAGTAGGGATTGACTTAATTTTTTTATATCTATTACTTGTTTCGTGCGTAGGACGGATATTTTCTGAATTACTGTATCTAAGCAGTCGTCTCTAGATTGATTGATTGATTATTAACGTCGCACTGTTCAGCTACACGAGGGCATTTGGCGACGGACCACGTAATTTTGAACCATGGTCAAGTGACGTAGACGACACCTGAGCTGGCACCCCTCCTCTCCTAATTACCACACCACACCAACGGGAGGATGTTTCAGCTCTCGACAGATTTAACGTGCATCGCTGCCCTACACGGCAGGTCTTTAGTGGTACTGGGCTCGAACTCGTGGCAAGGCAAGCCATGATCTGATACCTATACCACTCGGATACCGCGGCCGCAGTGGTCTCTAGAAGAAAAGTTGTTAGATGAATAGGTTAACTGAGAGAAATATTATCTATAAGAATAATCAAATTTATTTGTGCATGATGCTTTTTAAAATTATGAAGAAGATTGCTTAAAACAGAGATGGGCAATTATTTTGGTTCAAAAACCCCATTGGGAAAGCGGAGAATACCGGAAGGCCGCACTTTTTTTTTAAAAAAATGATTGCATTCATTAGCTAATTGTGCATCTCACAAAAGGGGGGTATAAATTGTACCATAACAAGTAACACACACACAAAATTTGTCAATTCCTAGTAAGGTCAACAAAGAAATTTTTTATTTTAGTTACTTTTTATTAAATAGTTACAATTAATATAAATATGTATATATAAATATGACAGAATCACAATATTAAGTGGCACAATAGATAATGATTTTCCTTGCAATTTTCCATTTTACTTTTCTGTATAGAGTGTTGAACTAGTACTTTTGTTTGATACTATTTATTCATTAATTAAGTTAAATTATTCCAATAAAAAGTATAGTAAAAAGAAATCACATTCTCAGAAATTAAGTCATCCTAGATGGCATTAGAAGTCCAACGCACTATCCATTGATTTAAGGCATTTCGAGTCATCACTGGTTATCACATACCAGCTTAGACAAGAAAAAGAGGTTTGTTCCAATTAATTCGAACACTATTGTATGTACTTGTATATTCCTTTTAAGTTTAATAGCTTTTAAAATAGATTAAATTTTGCTTAAAATAGTACGAAATAAGTATTTTTTAGAATATGTACTTGTGTTTGTAGGTACAAATGAACGAAGGTTGCACATTGATAAAAGATAAATGTTTATTTTAGTATAGATTAAAATTATACTCAGAACATTTTTTTTACCGTATCGAAAATTTTGAACCTATTTCTTATTTAGGATTCTATAAACACAATTTCTGTGTTCAAATATGAGAGTCTAAAATAAAAAATAAAAAGACAATATTTATTCAACGGATTTCAAATAACGGAATAAAAATATTGATCCATTCCAGACAAAACTTTTTTAAAAAATGCACATATCTAGAATGAAAAAAAAAAGATCTTTAGTATTTATCCGGATACGAATGCATGAAAAAGTTTGATAAGTTCAATAGTATTTCTCTCTAATATTATTTTGAAATTTATTTACTGTATGATGTATTGTTTCATGGAACAGTAAGCAAAAAGTATCATGAAAGCAAAAATTTACATTTCCTTGGATTTAAATTTCAAATTTACTGCTAGGAATTGTTTATTATTCGATAACTTTCAGCTCCGAGCATAATTTTATTAAAATGAATTATTCTGTCTTTTCTAAAATAAATATTTGTCTACCAAGTACGAAAAATGCTATTGTTTTTGTTTTCTTTTTACTGTTTTTCATAAATATGCTTGCTGTGAATTATTGAATCCCCATGTGTGATGAAATTTTATTCAACATGCAAGCTTTCCCGTAAGGATTATATTATGAAATATGGATCAAACAGCCATGAGCCTAGAGCTCTTTCGTTTTGTTCTTGGTCCTAAAAAAACTGAAAATACGTATTAAAGTGATATTTATACCTCCATTTCATGGTGAAATACATCTATTTGATTTAAGAAGAAATATTTGATGAAACTTCAGTTTTTAAGCCCTTGTATGGAGCGCGTAAACTGGAAAAAGAACACTCTGCCTTATTTTTATAATACAAAAACAGATCGCTATAAGGACGTATAGAGGTCAAACTCAATGATTATGTACAATTTGAACAATTTTTCAGGTTTCCCTGGAGATAGACTTTGAGACAAATATCATAATTATAACTCTTACCACAATTTATTTACATTTCGATAAATATTTCGATAATTATGTATTAAATGATGGAAGAACTGGTGTTTGGTTATTGAATAGTCACTTTATTATTACCATTCGGCCAATATCTTCTAGGACTACCTTTGGCCTTTAATAAAGTCTTGATTTTTCTCATAGTAAATTGAACGATATATTGATAGATCGTTTAACAAATATGAGACAATGCTTGAAGAATAGCACTTTCGAATAGTGTGAGATTCGTTGGTTGTGGACCTAGATTTCGCATAGTTTTTTCAAGGTAATCCTGTTGTACTAATAATGCATAGGGTTGCAACCTGGAAAATATTCAGCAAAGTAATGCCTACGCCATGTTTCTCAAATCCATCTAGTACAATAGCAGCTTTATGGCGGGAACCACTATCCTGTTGAAAGTACACATTGCTATCGTGAGAAGTCATCAGCATTACAAAATGTACTTGGTCATCAATGATGTTTACGTATAATGTCTTATTCAGACATTCAAACACATAAAATAAAGGGACCAAAGCTTATCAGAAATAGATTCCCTAAATTTTATACTGCCTCAATCAATTTCAAATGTCGTTGTAATGCATTTAAGGTCTATGCTTTCGTGCTGTATGTGTGTGCTTTGTGTGTTTTCGTTAGACGTTAATTTACTGATCTGTGCGATGAAAGGGGATTTATGGGAAGGTAATACTTTGTTCCCAATATTCCACTGTCTTTCCATGTGTGCCTGGAGGAATTCTTAAGGCACATCTTTTATTATTCGTTGTATTCAGCAACGCTGTTCACACTGGCTATCGGCTTCAAGAGTCCATACAATGCATAGTACGATAAACACTACATTCAGATAAATTTTGATAATATCCGCGATTAAGATCTTCTGCAAAATGTGAAAATAAAAATCAGAAATAATTAAATAAACTTTATTATGTTAACTTATATGTATTTTAAAGTGTTTCGTAAAATAAAAAAATATTACATATCTACAACTTATGTAGAATCTCCTAGAATCGATTCGGTGGTTTTGTAAGAAAAATTTCAGACGAGCAAGAGAGCTACAAGAATCAAGCTAAGAACTCATTTGGTCCTTTTAACTTTTTAGGCATAATTACAGCTTTCAAAATATTTGAAATGATAAACAAAACGTATCTTTCTCGAAGGAAAAGATTAAATTTAATATGAATATAAAATGCTAGATACAAGTGACAACTAATTCTAAATCTAATCCCAAGTAATTTTATCACTAATGTTGTGTCAATGACATTATATCAAAAGTACGACATTACCTTGATAAACATTGCCTGTACTCAAATTATTTATTTTATATTCTAATTTACTGTGTCTCTTCTCCTTTGAATTTTAAAGCTAGAAGACTTTACTTTAAGAGTGCAATTCTTTAGTTTGTTACGGGTGTAACGTCAGGACTAGGGATTGCAATACCGGACCAAAAGCTCAATACCGGTATTCGGTATTTTTTAGATCTTAATACCGGGATACCGGTTTTAATACCGGCATTAGAAATTTTAGAAAAACACAGCTGTTTCTTTGTTTTATTTGCCAGTTTTAGTAGAGAGTGTAAGTAACACAAAAAAAATTTGTAACTTGTAAATTATAACAGTAAATAAAGAATCACAAAAAAAGTAAGGGAACATCTCATTTATTTAAATCAAAAAATGTGTAAATATCACTATTAAACTTGTAGTACTATTATAAATTTTTGAAATGTGATCTTAAAAAACACAATGCATCAATTGTACTGTCATTAAGCCTGAAACGAAATTTTGTGCAAAAATTACCTGTTGTCGAAAACGCTCTTTCGTCATTTACGCTAGTTGGTGGTATTGTTAGCAACGCGCGATATACTTTTTCCAAGTATTTACCACTAAATCTCTCATCTTTTGAAATGAATCGATTTCACTTTGGATGGGTTTTTTGGATATAGCTAATTTTTGCATTGCATTTTGTTTGTGGAATTTTTTTTTTAGTTATCTCTACTTCTAATTTTTGTTCATGAGACAATTCATTTTCACTCTATCGACATTAGTGTCATCATAATCTTCGATAACTGTACCGAATTCTTCTGAATATGTTTTTGGGTAAAAAAAATTTAAGAAAATTTACTATAAACTTGACCAAATTTGAATTGGTTAGTCTCTTTTCTTCCTTTTCATTTTGAGTTTTAAAATCATTATAAGTATGATATGCAAATACAATGTGAATAACGAAGACACCAATTTAAAAATTTCGAAATATTACGCACTTTCTTCACAACTACAACTTTTTTTTTCACAAATACGAATTTCAGACTACAAATCCTGCACGTGTGAAGTATCGTTCTGAGCTGTAATTGAATATATTTGGCCCGCCTCCTTGGATGATTCACATATTTTATCACTTCTTGATTGCACGATGCAATTTTATATTCACTGTCTAATTAATTTCACACGTTAGGGAGACATAAAAACAAAAGCGTATACACTTTTGCTATGTTGATGATCCCTGAACATATAGAGGAAACAATTCAAAAAAAATTCTAGTAAATACCGAAAAACAGGTATTTTAACTTGTAAATACCGGTATTACA